TTTATAGCTGTTAATCACGGTGTGCGTCAACTGTTATAGTTTATGTAGCATAAATTATATAACACATTATTTGGTCGATTAACAAAATCTTCCACACTGAAATTAATGATGGCACTTGTTTTACGAACAGCGCAGTGTTAGAAGTTTCTTAATTGCACATGTATCAGTAAAATAAAGCTCTGTTTAAAGTTCACAGAGTGTAATTAGTCGAGATTTCTCTTGCCCAATCGCATTGGCGGCTCATCATATTATTATACTGGATTTTCGTCGTGGGTGGAAAGGGTTTTTTACTAATTTGTTTTTCTTGAGTTTAACGTTGAACTTGTTTATTCGTGTCTATTGTCTCGAGTACAAAAATATCGTATTGAACAAGACGGATTTTAACACACACTACATTAAATACATTTTAAAGTAATAATACTCTGAATGCCTTTTTTTCCAATTTAAGTTGTACATTGATCTGCGGTTAGACGCATTAATTTTACCAGGCCTGTAATAATTAATTATTTTTCATCGAATACTGAAACTACGATCGGGATATATACAATAATTGTGTGCGGATTGCGTTTAAGTGCTGAAGTTGAAGGAGAAGGATAATAGTATAACGTTATTAGTTTCCGGGATAGTTTAATGGTTCTTTTAAATAGTTCAGAGCTGTAGTTATTATAGGAAATGGATAATGCTATATTGAATTTAATCGTTATAAAATACCTCTACCGACCATAAATAATAGTATTTTTCGGTATATTTATTTGTTACAATTATTATCGTATTTTCCGTTTAGATCCATTTTGTTGGTTAACTTGTAATACTGCAATATCATAACTATTACTCTGATTGTTTTACTTGGAGGGAAACTCAAACTAAGGACTAAAACATTCAGTTGTTGTACATTTAACTATTGGATTCGCAAAAGTTATTTTAATAGTAAAATAATTAATATATTCCTTATAAAATTAATTTTAATTATATATTTTAGCAAAAAATGTATTTAATTTTAATTTTAAAAACAAACCTGAGGTGGGTGTTTTTTTCTAGAAACAAGCAACGATGAAGTCCGTTTAAAAAAAAATACTAACGGAAAAATCTTATCTGGTTTGCATTTGAATGGCTTTTTATTTTTTTCCATTTATTGTCACCGTATTCAGTCACTTTAACACGTACATTATTGTCAATCCCAAAACCCCTTAGTAAAACGTCGCCGTGACCCCAAAAGTACTCTTTATCATTCAAACGTCTCTAGAGTTCCGTGTTCTTACAATTGTCACTTTAAACATCTGTCATGAATGATCGTGAGCAGTAACACACTTTGAAACCTTTACAGTCGTTACCGTCTGGGTGACAATTTTCACTATAAATTGCTAAAAAAAAAATCACATTGGTAAAGTACTGTGGCAATTAATGGAGTGTAAATAAAAGCACACTAGTTCGGTTGATGAAAGGCTTGAAGATGTAACACTAAACCATGTAAACATATAATTGGCTCAGAAATCTGTTATCATACTGTTTGCTATTAAAGAGCTATTAAAAAAAAAAAATGTGAAAATTACACTTCAATAAATTTCTAGATTAGCAATGTGCGAGTTAATCAACAGCCAACAGGTGTCTGGAAAATAATTTCATTATGTTGCCTAATGGTTACAACGGCAACGCATTATCAGGTAGGCAGACAATCAACCCTTCTACCCCTGTGCTAAAATATAACTGTTTTTATGAGTGCGACGCTGAAACTACAAGCCTCGGCCATAACATAATTCACCATAACTTTTTTTCTCTATAAAGTAACAGTTTAAACGTGTCTTTTTTTTTAGAGTGGGCAAAATTGTTTGTATCGTTTTTTTTTTTGTTTTACTGTACTGGCATATTTTTTTCGGTGCCAAATTATTTACCATAACGTGTCGACAATATCAATCGAATATTGGGGGATTTTTTTTTTTTAATGATTTTAATTTTGTACCTACGAAAAACAAATAACGTTGGCGGCATGTGCGGTTAGGGATCGACGAGGGAACGGACTGGAAAATTAAACAACACGTGAGGATTTTATGACAACGGCTGTGGCTTTTATAATTGAACGGTCGTTCTCGTGCCCGTCTGTTTACGGCACTTGGGCGCCGGACTTGTACAACTAAAGTCGGCCAGTAATAATGTGTTTGCCGACCCGACCCGTACTCGTTAAACACCAGTACAACAGTATCGGATGACTTACTTGACGAAGCTCGTAAACCATCTCTCCCTGGGGACGGTTTATATTCCGACCGATTTCCAATGGTAAACGATACGTCCCCGCCGACAAGTCTCCAAAAGGTCTTATGTTTGTCTTTCAACCCACGGACAGCCTTTGCCCGGTATGGCGGTCGTGATATTATCAAAGGTAACGGAATGGGGCCCGAGCTCTTATGGGAAAACGACAGGGGTGCCGGCGCACAGTGGGAGGAATCGTCAGACTTTTAGCTGGCCAAAAATTTGCCAGTGTATTTAACCATGATTATTTGTTGATACTTACAACCAATGCAGTTTGTACATTAGTTAAATGTGATGGTAAGGAGTAACAAAATAGCGTTTAAGGGAAGACACCCAGCAGTACCGCCAAGACAAGGAAACTAATATTGTTTTTTTTTTGTGCAAATTAGTGCAAATGGTCCCTAGGAAATTTTATTTAAAGTCTTCTGGGCATATTATCAGGAAATAGTTGTTTTAATAGGGAACTATAAAGTGAGCTTGGATTGGAATGAAAATTTGGATAATACGATTTAGCCAAATGGTGTGGGTATTTTTAGGTGTTTGTGATATATCAAAGGGCAGAGAGGTTGTTAGTCACAAGCAGAACGACTGGAACGTCTGAAGAGTTTTGGTGTTTTTTCTCATAAACAAAATAAATTAACATTGCAAAAAAAAGTGAAAAAACTGTTTTTATTAAAAGAAATAGCTGTTTTGTTGTCATAACATTAGTTTTGACGTATCGCATTTTTTTAAAACATTTTCTTAACTTTTTCATGTATTAAAATCGATAATTGTTATTGGGCTGTAAACAAGAAATTTCAAGTGACTATTTTCACTTTCAGTTAGAGACGAGAAACTAAATGGCAAACTATAAGTGATAATAGCTGATAAGATATACAAAATATAAGTGATAAGAAATAAGTGAAAAAGGGTAAATAAATCCATGATTAAATGTTGTTTGGAGTGGAGAAAAAAATAACGTTCTTATTTAAAAATTGTATTATTAGTCTATTAAATAAGCGACTTTTATGGGGTATTTCCCGGTACCATTTATTTTTGATCAGCTCAGAGTTTCAGATACTTGCCATGATGGGTGGCGTGAAGAAATAATTAAAATAATATTCGCACTAACGAACTCTTCCGGATTCGCGAATCGATTACTTCCGGCAGGTTTCAACCGAAGAGACACGAGGTCGATTGGCACGTCAAAATTTTTTTCCTTCTCTTTTTTGCTGTTTGTGAATAATAATAAAAAAAAACTCCAATAGGCGCGGCAATTGATTTATCGTTGTTGCCATATAGTTTTCGTCTCGTTAAACTTGATTAATTATCGTTTGCCATTAATTCGATGTTGCAGTTCCGATTCCGTTTGGACGGACAAAAATATATTATGCAGGAAACCGTTGGTGTTTTCCGGGTCACGGTAAGTAGATAAAAAAAAAATTAAAGGGTTTTTTGATTTTACATTTTTTGTATTATGCCGCACCTACTGCGATCGATTTTTTAACGTGATTCAATCATTCACCAACTCGTATCAGATTCATTGGAATGGCAATTATCATAAAAAATAATACTACCCAATGGAATAATTGTGATATTAATTTGTATAACGTTTGTACGCAGTTATACAGTAGAAATTATTATTCGAAAAAAATAATTACAAGAACAAAATAATGTTTATTCCAAGTGAAAAATTGAGTCACCCGGATGACGTCAAGGGAATTCGGGTTTCAGTCTAAAATAATTGTTTTAATAATTAAACACATTTTCTTACGGGGAATAATTTTGTACAAAGAAAAAATTATTATAAAATGAACATACCTACATAATAATGCGCAAATATTTATAGTGTCACTGAGAAAACGCATAAAACAAAATATCTTAAATGCCTCAAGGAATGAGAAGAAATTTAATTACATACAAGACATTTCAGCTTCGAAGAATTTAATAAAAGACCAAATTGTATTGTTCAGACGCAAATCCTTTAAACCTATTTGCGTTAGCTTTGAAGAGTTCTCCGAAGTTTTTCGGAAAACAACAACGCGAAAAATACTAACAAGTAATCAACAAAGGCAGATAAACTTGTGGAATATTTCCATTTCGCTATGTTAACTGTGAACGCGAGATTATAAATACTATTAATCTCGGATAGGAATTTATTAATTTCAAGGGGTATTAAAAATATATACAACACAAAAGCGATATCCTGTACAACATATATGGACGTTTACTCATTTAATAGACCCACACACAAAGCACTATGTGGCAATTAGGCTTCCTTAATCCCGGTCTCTAGAAACTTTTGTCGTCCGGCAAATCCTTTGCAGGTTTTCCGACCCTTATTAATTTTTGACCTTATAAATCTTGGCAACGAAAATCGCAAAACCAACACGAAGCTTGCGGTTAACGTGACAGAGCACTGAAAAGAGCTTAGGACTGTGGCGCCAATTAAGATAAGAAAATTTCCAATTAGTCACGACAATCTTTTGATACCGATTTCACGGATTTTAGTGAGTTTTCTCACATGTAGACAAACGGAAAACAAAATAATTTGCGATACCATTTAATTGTAGCAATGTAGTATTTTTGACACGTCTTCTTATCTTTGTAGGCTTTATTTCGGCTGAACCTCAAATGAAAAATAATTGGAAACATTGCAAACTACTAAAACCGAAATGAGAATAAAATATACGGTTATTCTTTTCATGTGATTTTAAAATACAGTTTTCCAAAGAAACGTTAAAACTAGATTATTTTTAATATAATTGTCTAATTACCCGTCAGATAGGTATCGGCTTCGGACGTCCAGGTCCATTCTGGGTCACCGTGTCTTCTCAAGTATAAGCATTCCAAATGCAATATCGATCCAGGGAAAACCACAAGTTCTCCACCGTGATCCACAGCCGCCGAACCGGAGGGCACCCTGACCAAAATTGTCGGTGGTGAATTTTCTGCGAACAAGCAAGCAGCAATTTATAAGTTTACTTTGGTATAACGTCGATGAAGTCTTAATAACGTTTTGTCAGTGGGTCGAACGAATCGGCCGGAAGCGAATATTCGTTGGTAAGCTACGCCATTTGACCGGAGTACTCAACAGAGTGTATCTGACATCCGAGGAGAGAGAAAAGGAAAAACAAGACCTACGTTTAGACTTAAGAGTACTTTCAGGACATTGTCAAAACCAGGCGAACATGCCCATGACATCGCCTACTTCTGAAACCGCAAACGTACTTGTCCGGTGTATATAAACTCAATTTATTTTTAGGTAAACATCACTTTGGCGAACACATTTGTTTACGAATGACTACCGCGTTAGTATATATAATTTTTAATTAGTGGCGCTTGTTAAACAAGCCTTTTGTTAAAATTCTAACAAACACAATGGAATATTGGCTGTAAATTAGCATGGCGTTGTTATTTATACCGGGATGTCCCGGTACAGTGACCAACATGTACGACATCGTGAATGTTGTGTTGTAAAAGGTATATTTGACCCTTCATTTGTGATAAATGAAAATTGTATAATTTTTGAAATATTATTATTATAATCCCATTGCATTGCAACAGAGTTATTTGATCTAATGTATGTCGTTTACGCCGTCTTTTGTATTTTCATATTTTACTTATACACTTAAAAATAAGGAAATTATTAAACGAAACGACAAGGGACGATGACATATTTTACATAAAAAATTCCAGACTTTATAATTCCCTTGAGATCGTCGCGAGGAGAATATTTTCCACGCACTACTTAATACCGATCAGCTGTTGGACGGATATAAATTTACGGAACCACAAATCTGGTGAATATATACAATTTAGATTTATACAATATAATTTTAGAACGGTATCGCCATGTAACCGTGAAATGTTGAGACACTAGACAGCAGATAAATGATAAATACAGAGCTAAAACTCGAGTGAAATTGTTTTTCCAACAAAGATAACCCCGATTGCATGCTGTACAATAGTCTCTATTGAATAGGGTATAAATTTGGAGTTGAAAGAAATTGTAAAACGAAAAACATGTAATCGTTTAGACTGCAAGTACACACAATTTGATGTTCATACAACTTTTATTATCGACCACAATAAAAAAACTGCCCAGTAAAATTCTCATTGTAAAAAATACACAAAATCTTATGCCGTTTCGTGAAAACTGTGACATTGCTCAAAACAAAATCCTGTTGGGAAATGATCAAGATTACTAAATGTTTAATTGAATATTGTGAATTTGAGTTGAATTGTGTACTTGTGATGTAGGTATTTTACACAAAAATAATGGGAAAAAAGTTAATTTTTTTCTCTTAATTTGCCACGTACGTTTTTAAACTTCTTTCTAAACTTATAGCCTTAACAAAGAAGCATATAGCATTACCAATGAGCTATATGCAATAAAATATAACAGTAGAACGAATAATATACAATATGCCGTTCCTCAAAAGCTAAAAACGTATACTTATAAAGTCAAAGGATTTGTATGTACACACAAAAATAATATTTACACTTACAAAGTTATACTTAGTTTTTTTAATCGTCCAATTAATTTTTGGTTTTATGTTTTACCTGAGTAATTTGTAAATAGCGTTGTTGGATGACACTTTGGAATAGGACTCGTCCAAATGCCGTTATTGCAATTAATCATTGACGGACCGCTCAGTTTATATGTGCCGATGGGCTCTTGACACCTTGCCGATATGGTGTCGTTGTGAAGTATTGTCGTATTGAGCTCCTGTAACAACACAAATATACTTATGACATTTAAATAAAAACTCAAACTAAAAATGCAGCTAAAAATCGAAGCTAACGAGATATAGGAGTTGTATAAAATACATAATTTATAAGTATCATTCATGCAACATTAAAATTACGAAATATCAAACTATATAAACATCACGAAATATAGTAAAATTAGTTGAAAAAAAATAAGGTATACAATATTGAAACGCAGTTAACCTGAAGGTGTAGATACGCCTTAGGAAGGTGGAGTTTAGTATTGTTTTTATCTGCTCGCATTTCCCAACCGCACTTCCCCTCCCATCATAACTTTAAAACACTTACAACTTTAAAAATAGTTATCAGAAACTGGTTATCGACCGGTCAACATTTTTAGTACATTATTCTCAATTTAAAAAGTTAATAAAATATATACGTTACCGTTTAAGTTTAAAAAGTTGCTATTAAAACAACTAAGTTGGGAGGGGGATAAAAACAAACGAAATTGTGAAAAATTGAGATCACATTGGATAAAAAGCTCTGAAAAAAAAAAATGTTAATTTCTTATTAAACCCTATGAGATATTAAGTGGTTCATGATAAAAGAATCAACCTGTATAATACAACTAGCATATGTTCTAACATCTTCACATCACGGTTAACAGCGTGTATAAACTACACATGTTATGTGTTTGTGGTTATTGACCGTGTTAAACAAATGATTAAACACAAAAGGGTTAAATTAATAATAAAAAAAGGATAATAATTTATTACAAAAACTAAAAACACGGGTTAACCAACAATAAAAATAATTGACATAAAAGTACCTACGCAAAGTGTACACAGAAGAAAAAGTAATACGGAAAATATATAATACCGGACATGTGTGTATTATCAAAATCGCGGTACGCCGTGAATGTAGCGTCGACTACCGGTCTCGATACCGACTTCATACGGGTGGCGCGCGGTAGCTGATAATAATATATATTGAGTCCGCCACAGTGTTTTTTTATCGTTTATTACAAAAAAAAAAATAATAATAACAGCTTAAGCTTAATGCCAACTGTAAAGTAACACGTACAACCAAACAGAATGTAGGAAAAAAAATCGATAAAAACTGAATTCAGCACTTCTCGTTTAAGAATACTTAATGTACAACGTATTGTGAAGTACAAGTGCGTCGACTCTGGTTTAAGTAAAAATACTAAACGTTTAAAAAGAGTGCGTCATATAGCTAATACGACGCATTTATAGTAGAAATGTATTTTAGGCGAGTATTGCTGGTCTTAACGATTGCGATAATATTTATGATTCAAACATGGTGTTTCACATTTAAATGTAAGCGTCAGAAATTTGCTCTTAACAAATTAAAGAACATAAATAATTTAATGTTTGTGCATTATGTAAGGTTAATGCAACTCGATACGGGATACTCTATCGAAGAAAAACCACAAGTGTCACAAGAAGAGGCAAATGAATACCCGGGAAAAGTTCAGCACGCAATAGACGAACTATACCATCAGCTATTATGTTGTTACATGTTCGATATGTTTTCTTATATGGATGTACTAGGGCAGCTCTTTTCAGAAAACCGTGAAAACGAGTTGGCTGAATTAATCAACCTCCAAGAGTACAAATTGGTTTTTCTAAGCGATAATATTATTAATATGTTGAACGTTCTGTACAGTTTCGGTAAGTTAGACGATATGAGTCCGTTGTGGACCGTTTACATGTTTGTAAAATATTTAAGATCGATCAATGATAATGAAATATTAGCTAGACGGGAAAATATTCTAAATGATCATCGTACTGTTTATCATCGACTGACACACATACTCAACAAACAAAAATGCAAGAAGCAAAATGAGCAAAATGGCCAATATACCAATTTAAACTACTATAATAGTTTTCAATCACTCATTTTGAATCAACAGCATAAAATAGTTGACCTCGTAGCAATCTTAAAACAATTAATTAATAATAGATACCAAATTGTTAAGGTTAACATAGACATCGACACATCGTGTCGATTTTACTTTCGTGCCAGTCACTTGAAATTAGGTTCCGTTTGGCGTAATAAGGAAATCGTGAGACGTTTGTTTGTCGACTTTGCAGAGGTACCTGAATACAAAAAAATGTACTCTCGAATACAAAAAGTCAATGAAAAAGAAAAATTTGACTCTCTTCAGGATTTGATCGAGACCGTGGCAAAATCACAAAGTCTGCTTATGAATTTAGTAAAATTTATAATTCTGCACAGCTTTTGGAAACAACTAACTTTAATTAATTTGTCTTTGCCTCTATCAGACGAAGAAGAACAACCTCATCGGCTTTGGCTGCCGATGATCAATCAAGAGCAGATAGATAATTTAAACAAGTTTTTTTATACATATGTTAAGCTGAGTACTGTTTACATCTCCATAAAAGACGATTTAGGTTTGATTTTCCTGAAGTATTTGGTTAAAATGCCAGCTAACCTTTTTACTAATGTGCAATTTAACAAGACAGTAAAAAAATACCTCTTGAAGTATATGGATGAAATTTATTCACAAGTATTCGGTTGTGAAACAAAGCTTGTAAGGTACTCCGGACTTATCTCGGCGCAGTACATAATAAATCGACAGGCGATGCTCACCAAAATATGTCAAAAACATAATATAATGAACATAATGCCTTCCATTAAAGAACTAACAAGATATAACAGTTCTGAAAGTAATTTAAGTATTCATATATTTTTTAAGCTAATAAGTGACTTTTATTTTGAACGGTATGCCGAAATAGATTTTGATGTCATTCGGTCGTTTAACAATTTCTCAGATGAATTTTTGGGAAATACAAGTTATTAAATTGTGATGTGAACTATTGAATTTTTGTTTGTTTGTGTAAACATTGTTTGATATTATTAAATTCTAAGTTTATTTCAAAACTTTATAAACTATAAATTTACCGTATCTCGAAGTTCATCGAAATAATATTGTGCACTATCAGACTCATACGAAAATTGCATTATTAATGAATTCCTAATTTATTTTAAAACGGTATTCTTAATAAATTCACTGTATCTTGAATTTTTTCGAAATAATTAAAATTAATCCAATAATCTGACTTTGAAATGTTGATGTTATTGTGTACTTTTATGTTTATACGAATATATATATACATTATATACATTATGTATTATATATATTATGTATATTTATATACATTATTACAACATTAGAAGTAGTGTTTTTTTTCTAATAATTAAGGAAGTATTTAAAATAAAATACATTTTATAGTATTAATATTATATTAAATCATTTTTCTAGATGTATAATTAGGTAAAAATAAATGGCAATAGACGGCAATCTATTCAACGTAAGACGTTCATTTTCAGAAAACTATTAAAATGTTTGAATATTTAATAATTTTTCTTATTGAATATCGATTATATTGTCCTTTTACTTTTGGAGGGGATATTTGCCATGTTTAATCTCAAAATGTTTGGAGATGACAGTAGTCAGAAAAGTAAGCAGAGGATTAATAATGGATTTTGAATCATCTTAGAATTTAGAAAGGAACTTGTCCAGAATGGATGTGTAGGTATCAAATGTACAATATATAATGTATTATTTTGCGATGTGTCGTTACCTGTTATATTAGCATGAATTGAGTGAATCTGTTGAAGTGTTTGGTACTCTGCATTATGTTTTTTTTTAAAAATTAATAATTTGTCTATAGTTTCCTGAAATATCAGTTCGTAGTTGAAGGTGCATTGAAGTTGATTTGCAAAGAAAACTATTGGAACCGAGTCTCAAGAGAGCATGTCGTATTTTTAATAATACTTCTCTACCCGGCGAAATAATGGTATTATGAAAAGGGAAATTCGATAAAGTCTAGTGGTGCGAAATAATGTTGAGTTGACACTCAATTTGTACTTAGAAAGCCACATCGTCACTTGCCCAATTGGAGAAAGAAACTGTAGAACTACGCCAAAAGGTTGTTTCGACCATAGTCCCTTCCAGTCATGTGTTAATTACTACTACGACCAGATTGACATAAAATTATTCATTCAATTATTTACATATTATAAACTCATAAAACAATCAGGCGATGGCGATAGTCAAATTATTGTTATATAATTGAAATTATAACAAAGGAAATAATAATATAAATATTATAAAACAAAATATATTGTTCTATAGAATAACCGAATGAAAAAATGTGTTTTTTATACAAACTCACCATAATATGTTATGATTATCCAATCAAATAAACTGTTACTTATTAATCATTATTATTATTAAACTTTATAAATATATAATTCCTAACAGTAACTAATATTACTATTAATGTCAGTTATTTTATTGTAGTTGTTAATTTTCATATATTTTGTTGGATAATATTACTTTCTTGTTTAATGTCATAGATTACTATTTAATTATTTAAATACTAGTCTCAGATGTTTTTATGTTATGTTAAAATGTTAATAAATAAGCAATAAAATATTATAAGACCCTTATAAATAATAATAATACATATTATTGAAGTATTAAATATAACCGAATTTTTACATTTTATACGGGATTACTGTAATACAACATAGTTATTAGGCAACTAATTAATTCTCGTATTTAAAGCTATAACAGATTGTATTTTGTATAAAATAAAAAAATATTTTTTTAAGATATAGGAATTATATTAAATACATCGTTTATAAAATATTTTACATACAACATAAAAATATGAAATATCATATAACTGTCATATTTAAAACAATATACGTAATAAAATATGTTGAAATAAAAAATAATATATACAATATTAGGAAGCAGTAAACCCAAATGTATAAATTCATGTGTTTTAAATAAAATGTAATATAGTTAAATATCAAGGTCAACCGCATGTATACGCTACACATGTTTTCCATTTTTTATTGTTTATTACAAAAAAAATAACAGCTTAAGATAACCAAACAGTAAAAAAACACGTATAACCGAACAGAATGTAGGGGAAAAAATTCCATAAACACTGAATT